CTCCTGATTTGTACCGCTCCACAAATAGCACATAGTCTGAAATATGTGAAATAGAATTCAATAATGCTTTCCTTTATAAAGGGAAAAATGGACTTAAAATTACAAATTTTTACAAAACTATAAATAAGGCAAGATACTTTGTGAGGAAAATAACAGAGTATTTTTTAACAAATCATAGCATCCAACACACTGATAAGTCAAAATATTTCATAATACTAAGATCAACTGAGACATTTAAATGTGATAAAAATTATGACTACAATAAAATATTGAAAAAGCTCAAATGAAGCCTATAGAGAAAAAGTTTATTTATAAGGAATTTCATTACACATAAAAGCTTAAGTTTTTAGGATCTAAAACAATAAAATAATAATGGCCTACTTTCCAGAGAAAATGTTTCTAAATACCTAATATCAGAAAGATGACGTTGAAGGAAAAATGGATGAATACTTCATTCAATATTAAAGAAGAAATGGTGCTGTGAATTTCCAGAAGAAACAATATTAACAACATATTCATATTTACATTTAAGGGTATAAATATGCACTAATATAAATTTAACCTTACATAAAAATTGAGAAGCACCAGGTTTGATCAGTGTAAAATAAAGTTATAGCTAGATTTATGCTCTATGTAGCAATTTTATTTTAATTTTCTCTTTTAGAGTTGTTATATTATTATATTAAAGCATATAAAATTTGTTCTCAGCAGAGCAAGCTTCAAATCATTTTAGTTAATTGGCAACTATGGTGGAACATGAAGCATCACTCTTTCCCAGTAGTTTCATTTTAAACAAATCATGCTCACATATAAAAATAGCAAATTGCATTAAATTTTATATAAGACATTTTACAGCTTCTCATATAGGAATAGCTATAAGCAGCTTTCATGGCATATACCAGAGCAAACAGCTTTGAATAAACTCTCTGACAAGATATCATTCATAGGGATACAAGATACAGCCTCTATCAACTTAATGCTTAAAATATACCACAAAAGTTGCAGGCTTTAACAAAAAAAATGAGCAAAAATTGTCCCAAACTTTGAGTGGGAAGTTCTGATATCCTTTATTGCCTCCAGATTGAAAAGTAAGGTATCTGGGTATTTCTCCTAATTCCGTCTGGTTAATGCTTGCCACAAAGTTTTAATTCTAATTCATATTCTCTAAAACAAAATAGTTAGCAGTGACTGGAGTCTCAAACATAATTACTAAATTTTGCTAATTTTACTTAATATGTTCATCTACTTTATATACTATCAGTTTTAGGCTCCAATTAAAGTTACTAAGATGCTTTGATTTAATTTGTCATAAAGTCACCTTTAAAAATAAAATAGATATAAATGTGGGGGACACATTTATAACAGATATGTTTCTGAGTCTTGACATATAAAATGTTATCTGGCAGACTGACTTCATAGTTTCAGTCAGAAAGCATATTAATAGAGGAAGTTCTTAACTCAATCCTTCTCTTTCTCTATCTGATGAGTTTTAAAAGAAGGAAAATAGTCCTGCAAATGAGTAAATTTTGCCTTAAATATGGTATACAAGACCAGTTATGGAAATTGAACAAGTCACATTATGCATAAACTATAGAATATTTTTCTTTCTTTTCCAATTGTAGCTATTATTCCACAAAGGAAAACAAAGTTGAAATAATCAAATTTACCACAACAATGGTTAATATCTTACTTTTAAATTCTTATATTTTTACATTATTTAATATCTCAAATTATTATACAAGAGCTTTTCTAAACCTGTCATTATTGCCACTATATGCAAAATAAAACACAGTTCTTCAAGATTCATTGCTAAAAATTACATTTTTTTTTAATTAGAAAGTTTATTAAGAGTTAAATGCCACTGGGAAAAATTATTTACTATTCTATAGATATAAAAAATTATCTAGCCCACAAAAATGCCAATTATCAGGTAATTTTTATTTATCATTTTCCATATTCTTACTTAAGTGCCTAGTAATGCAGACTGAGAAACACATTTCTGTAAGTTCTTCTTGACCTGTTTGGTGCCTCAAAGAAATATCCTTAGGCCAAAACCAAAGCAAAACAAGGCAACTTTTAATAGAAATGGTTAAACATTGTGTGTGCAAAATACAAAAAGAAAATAAGATGAACACAGAGGGAAACAAGAGAAATTATTTTTGCAGTTCAGAAAAATAGAAACAGATACTACCTATTAATTCACTGATCATATCATGGATTTTATAAAATTAAATAAACTATTCATTGTCACAAAGTCTTAAAATTCTGATTACACATTGCTTTATTCATATTTTCTAAAACAAATAAGTTTGATAGTTAATAGTGACTACAGCCCCTATAACATCCCTAATTTCATACATTGTTTAAAATTATTCCTCTCACAAGAAACATTTTTGAATGACTATACATTATCAAAGAAATTGATTTGTCCATAAATTTGATGTGTTTGTTGATTTAACACATATAATCAGACAATTTTCATTTGTCAATCAGAGGCATATGTGCTGAACATCTATATAACTTCAACAGCATATATGCTTTCATCACAAAGCTAAATACCACATCTGTGGCATAATCTGTAACATATCACATAGGGTTTTATACAGGCACCAATTCTCAAGCTCACTTCTACGATCTGTAAGTGTTGATTAAGTTGCCAAAGAAATAACATTGTATATAGCAAGCCTTCCGTTTAACTAAGGGAAAGCTTGCTGTTAGCAACTTAGTTTGAAATGTTAACAACTTAACATAACAACTTGTCATTAACGTGGTAATGACCAATTTAAAAGGAAATTGTACTCTGAGAAATGAAAATATTGGCCATCAGAATGAGAGTTTGTATTTGACAGAGGATAAAATGTTTATAAGTTAATAGCATTAAAAGTTCGAGCCCATTAGGGGTTGGGGTCATGGCTCAGCGGTAGAGAACTCGCCTAGCACGTGGGAGGCCCTGGGTTTGATCCTCAGCACCACATAAATATAAATAAACAAAATAAAGGTATTGTGTCCAAGTACAACTAAAAAATAAATATAAACAAAGTTGAAGCATATCAGAAATTAACCAAAAGTTATACCATAAAAATCAACATACATTCTTTTAGAGATAGATAAGGATTTCTGATATGAATAGTATTTGCATAAATTCCCTTCAACAAAACACTTAAGTCATCAAAGACCAGCTTAACATCCTAATTTTTACTGCCATAAGGAAGAATAAAGCAAAACAAATCTAAGGTTACTTTCTCTCCTTGCTATTATATCAAAAACCATACAAGTTGTTTCACTCACAATGCAAATATTTCATTGGCAAGTTATTGTTTTTTTATAAAAATTCAGATATTTCAAGCAACTTTCTTTAAGATTTCCTCAATTTTTGACTTTTTTAAAAGTATTAAAACACTTTAATCTTATGTAAACTGTATAAACCCCTTGTTTGGAATTGCAACATAAATCCACTTGAGATACTGAAATTGTAAGCAAATGTAAAAGTCAAAAGGAGTCAAAAAGCTGTGACTGTTGGTTAGTACAGATAAAGTAAAACTGGAAAGCAGTGTTAAATCATGAAAAGCAAATACAAATGCTTTGTGTTGAAACGAGGCTCTAATTCGCAATGAGGAGAGGAGACATTTTTATTTCAAAGAGAAAGTTCAAAGACTGGAGAGTTCTAAAAGAATTCACATTATAAGTTAACTGATTAGTTGTGCCACCATAATGAGGGAAATCCTGGCTGGGGGGAGTCACTTCCCATTGTTGGCACCTTGCAAGATTTTGTGCACTTGGAACACAGGGGAGTAGGAACAAGTGGCCATAATTAGTCAGAAGGCTGTCAGGTGAGGCAGTGCTGAGAGAGGGGAAGAATATAATCTGATAAACAGCACTGGATTCACCCTCTTGTAACTACCATTAATCAAAAGATGTATTTTTATATAGAGAGATTGAATCTGACTTTAAATAACTGAATTATAGACTAAGAAGGATCTGATTCCCTAGAAAATACCTCCCAGAATGACCAAGATGGTTAAGGAGTTGCTGCTGATTGATAAATTTTGTGTCATAAGAGGAAAAATTCAAAATAAATAGCTTAATGTCAGACTAGAAAAATGATTAATCGTATCAAATGTGAAAACCCAAATGATGCCATATATCATTTCTCTAATTTGATAGATCCTACTTTATTAATATAAGTAATTTGCAGCTGAATCAAGTCACAAAGTTCCCTGAAAAGCAAAATAATGTTTCTTCCGTGGAATTTCTGTGTTGAGTACTAAACCCTGGGAAACAAGTTCAGCTGACTCCACCGGCCTTCTAGGCAGGAACACCTGCTTTGTCTTCAAATTTCCCAGATATGCGCAGTTTGGAGTGTACCTATCATTTCCCCATAATGATGGTCTTTATTTTGTATTCTCCATAAAGACACTGGCAAGTCTGAGGCTGTTCAATGCTCAGTGACATCTTTTTGATGACCATTTTGAATGTCCTGGGCGCGGGGGGCAGGGGGGAAATGTATTCACACTTAGGGGAAGTTTTCAAACCATATAATAAATACACCAATAAAAATCACTGACTTCCTCTGACAAATATGAAACAAAAAGCAGAGCCAGTCCAACTCAAGTTGAACTTTTCAAAAACAAAGTTAAAATGTTGAGCTAACCCATTTCTTACAACCTACCTTGCTTCCTAATGCTCTAATAAATAAAATTTGCATACGTGTTTCTACAAAATACATCCTTGACATTAACTGGCAGTTTCAATATAAATAGTGAAATAACTTATTCCCCAAAATGAGTAAGCCAAATTGGAACACTGTAGATACATTTTGCTGGCGGTTCCTTAAGCAGTGATTTGTGTAACACACTGGGCAACATTATTGAAGGCTGACAGGTCAACATATTTCAGGAACATGAACTGGTAGTAAGGAAATGAAACAAACAAAAAACTACACTTACAAACGTATTTTAAAAGGCATCCAGTCATCACTGGGGTGCAAGGACAATTCCTACCTCAGGTAGTCTCTGCGACAAAGGATAAGATTAGCTTTAGTGTACAGGGTGGAGCCCACCTCTCCCAATCGACAGTCGCAGCAGGCACACTTCAGGCAGTCCTCATGCCAGTATTTGTCCAGTGCCTTTAGAAGATACCGGTCCTTAATCTTTCGGTTGCAGCCAGCACAACCTTTCGGCTTGGTGTCTGGCTGAACTGAGAGCATTTGTATACCTAAAGGAAGACAAAACAAAAAGAAAGAGAGCTGAGACTACAAGGCAGAATAACAAAGATGTCAAAAGACCTCAAACAAGTTAAATATTTAATACTGCCTTTTTCCTAGAAGCATTAGATTTTCTCTTTTAGGGATATACTGAAATCTAACTAAATTTTGGAAGTAAAATGTCTCAAACTTTATAAAATCCTTATTAAAAGATTGATGAAGTCATACATATAAAGTGGTAATAATAATGAATTCATGTTGTACATGGGAAGTTGACATTATATATGTGAAGTTAAATAACATTAAATCATTCTTCACATAGAGCTATTCCTCTAGGAGGAAAATGTGAGTAAATGGCTAACAATCTGAAAAGAAAGCTATTTAACAAACGAATCCATACACAGTCTACAGGAGTCAAAAATGAATTTTGCTTAATGGTTAAAAATTTCACTTAATATATGGTTGGTGGTGGAAGAAAAGTGCACCCTGTGTGGGATTATATGAAGCTTACTTAGCAGTACAGATGTTTAGAGTTAAAAGTACATAGCACAGCCACCCGAAAAGCTCACCAAACCTTTATTGCTTTTTTTTTTTTTTGCATCCACATACTTCCTTCTGTGTCCTTGATATTTCAAAGTATTCACTATGTTAAAATCACAAAATATATTTATGCTAACAACCATCGGTCAGTGCCTATATTAAGTGAATGTTACTCAAGTATATACTATTCGCTTTTATATAAAACTTAAGTATAGGATCATTTAATTAATTACTAAGCATGCACTTATTTATTTTGTAGGTGAAAGCAGAAACAATGGAAAGAAAAGTCGAAATATATATAAATTTATACACTCATACATAAATATACATAGAAGATCTACATATACTATGTAGATATAGGGACATTTATATATTTTAAAGCTGTATCTCCATCATAAATAAGAAATCTAGCTGGGTTCTGTGTGTTTTACAACTTGGCTGAAGTCTTTTCAGTGAATGAATATTCACCTTTGAGTTTTTTCTTATTTCCTAGGTGTTGAACACTCAGCCTTAAAAAAAGCTGGCACAACTATTCAAAGCTTCATTTTTATCACATAACTCATTTTAAGCATGATAAAATACTGCAGACATCATCAATTCAAATTCCCTCATTTTACAAATTGTCATGCAGATACTCAGTGATGTTAAGAGACTCCCTCAAAGTAGAATAAGAGTTAAATGTGGATTTGGGGACAAGGGGCCTTCTTACAATTCAGAGATACCTCTGCTCTACTTTGCTATCTCTCCTAGGCATAAAGTTTCAAACTTGGATGTAGAAGAATACAAAGCAATAAATATACATGCATTTTAAAAAGTTTCAAGGAAAGAAATGACAACCTATCATTTTCTGCATTTTCTTTGCATTTCTCTTCTACAAATTAGCATAACCCTCATTTCCTCCGATACCTTCCAATGAAGGCTTCACTCCTATTATCCCCTTAGCCTTACTTAAAATTTAAAAAAAATACATCGATAAAAATACATCAAGGTATCTCCATAGCTGAGTAACTTTTCTAGGTACAAATAATAAAGTGCCCATAATAACATTAAGATATTGAACTTTGTTTAGAAAATAACTTGTCTGGTGGAGTGGTAGAGTAGGGGATGGCAAGAAAGAAAGCAGGATGGCTGCTCTTTCTGCATGATATGCATAGCTGGGGTTGTCCAAGCTGCAGACTAGCAGCTGGATTTGTACAGAAGAGCAGGTGGTATCCCTATAGCCTGCTTTCTGTTCTTTTTCTTTGAAGGAGCTAGGGCCCAAGTGTAGATTAATCATAACCCTTGATAGCTCTGCTAAATCTCACTCTCTAGAACTTCTAACAAATGAAGTTTCTTTGATCAGAACTAGTTATCCTCTTCTAGCAAGGTTCCACAAGGAATGAATCCCATTAATTACAGTGCAAGTGCCTTTTAGCCACATACCTAAGGGGAGGGGGAAATTTTGATTTACCAAATGACATTTTGGATTTTGTTGCTAAAAACATCCAGAAATATATTCAGAGGAGTCATTCTAATTATGTAACTTAGAAGGCTATTATTTTTTAAATAACAAGGCTAAAAGGAAAAAAAAAATCTTTCCTATGGTAGCTAAGCTATGTTATTTCCCATAGCTGTGTTATCATCATCAAGTATAGATGGTCAGTTATCTTTATTCAAAATGCTTTGCAACTAAGACAGGGGGTACCAACATTTGGCACAAGCAACACTACCCTGCTTGTCTTTACAAAATGTTTTTGTTGTGTTGACATTTTAATTTAGCACTCAGAGGCCAATTAATATTTGAAACTCTTACATTCTATCTGGCCTTGGGCATAAAGGAAGTTTGATAATTTGCACTCCATCCCCTATCTTCTTTTAGGGGACATTATCACATTTCTCTAGAAAACAGAATCTTTTCAATTCCATGCAAGTTAACAATTGTAGAAAAGGAACTATTTTGTAGTCACCACGTTGCCATGTACCTAAAAAGCATAAAGCAGTCAGTGGCCTCTCCTCATCATCCAGAAGAAAACGTCTGGGTAGAGTTCTGTGTTCGCAGCTGAGAAACATTTCACAAGTTGCTCATAGCACATCAGGACTCATAACTAGTTTTAGATTGGCATGTAAATTGTTCTGAGGGAAATTCTTATTGCCTCTGAGACCCTGCCATTCTGAGTTATTTGACAGTTTAAGGGAAATCATAATTAAAAAAAGACATAAATAATAGCCTGTGCAGTGTGGTGTGCAGAAATAAGTAGAACCATTTCATTTAAACTCTGGTGAGCTTTTAATTGCCTGGATTGCATTGTGAGGCGGCCTAACGGTTGATTGCCTCCATTATGTTCCCTTGTTCTGTGCCATTCATCCGCACAGTCTCAGCTTCAGTAGTTAACACAACAAAGTAACCACAACTCCACAACACACAGGGGTTTAAAAAATAATAATAATAATAATAAAAGATCTGCAGTACTTAGACACAGTCTTTTATATTTTTGGACTAACTGCATAGAGTGAATGGAAAACATTTTGTCCCTGTCGGAAGATTCACAGAGGACAATTTTGGAAAAGACACAGGAAGAGGGGACATATAAAGGGGGTTGGAAGAGATGAGGTGCCTCCAAAAGATGCTAAAATGGGAATGCAGGTTCTGCAGCTGGGAGCAGTGGCACAGATTAAAAGAATTTGGCCAACATGGCCATTCGATTGCCAAGAGGTACCAAACAAAAGACTTTCTCTCTTCCTGCCCATCTTCATCCTCTCCCCCACCCCCCCACCCCTGATTGGAAAACTGGATTGGGCCTAAAAGCTTGTTTCTCTCTGTTCACTGGCCCAGAGCATCCCTACAGGCTGCAGCCCCCTAAGGGACAACAATGCAAATAGATGTCCCCAGATCTCTGGCACTGGAGCTGCTTAACTCTGTTCTGCCCCTTCAACTCCCAACCCCCCTCCCTATCCTTCCACCCCCCTCCCCTTTTTGAGCAATGGAGCTGGGAACCAATTTGATTCCCTTTTTCTCCAATGCAGCTGCAAGGCTCAGAGATACTGACATTTTTCCACTCTTATCAGTTTAATTACAGTTACCATGGCAGCAAAGTGCTAGTGCTTGGCAAAGGCCAACAAGAGATTTGCAAGACTGAGTTCAATTTTGATGCAGCTCACATGCAAAATAAAAAAAAAAAAAAATAAGAAACATACATACACTCTAACAAAGAATCCCTTACGGAGTTTATGCTCCAGCCTTTTGTGGTTGTGTCTTTGCAGCCACACAGGGATGGTTTGCAAAGAATGTAGCAGTATTTGTTGCACCTAGCAAGATTAATTGGTTTAAGCAGCAGTCTCTCAAAGCAGTTACAACAATAATATTTCGGATCTTTCAGAAAGGCACAAAAACAGCGGAAGAGCAGGAAGGCTTTTGAGCAGCCAAGAGTGCAGAGCGCCGGCAAAGTGCATCTATGATAGATCGTAACCTTACCAAAACTTTTCTCCTTTTTCTGCATGAGTTGAGTTAGGCGTGCCTAAGTTGCAGCAGTTTCGCATTGAGCACCAAGCCCAAAGGTAGTAGTAGAAGGGATTCTCCTTGATTTGGCTCAAGTGTGGACCTGGTGCGCAGCCTGCACCGACCAGGAAGGACTCACTATTGTGAAGCCACTTTGGGAGCGGGTCGGAGTGGAGGCAGGGGTGGGGGAAGGGATGAGGGCGGCCAGACAAGACACGGTGCACACACGGAGCCCCTCGTAGTGTGGCTGTGTGCAAAATGATGGCGAATGACAAAGCCACATGCTTCCCTAACTCTGCCCATAATCCTAAAATCCCAGCGGCCCTTTTTAGCTTCCTGGTAACAAATGGATTTGATTAAACTGTCACATGCAGCGTTAGCATAGCATATCATGTTCAATATGAAAAAGATCATAAATCTGACTTGTATTTCATAACAGCAATCTGAGTAGCCCCTGTAAAAAATGTGCTGCATCAGTTTGAATCTCCACCTATAAGGACATAAGCACCTCTTTCCACGGAACCTCTCCCCTCTGGCCACTTCTCGCCTAATCCCCCTCTCCCCGCCCCCTACAACATAGTCACTTTTTCATCCCCAAGGAACGATATTTTGTTATTATGGCTGTATGGGGAGAAGCAGAAGTGTCAACAACAACGAAGAGGTTGTAATTTCAACTCTTTTTTTCTTTTTGTGGGGGGTGGTTCATATAAATTTCAGCAAGTAGAAGAAGGGGTCCCAGTACACACCTAGGATTGAAGCCCCTTCCTAAGAGCTGCAAGCAAACATTTTCCAATTGCAAACTCTCCCCGTCCCTCTCTCCCAGGGAGTCAGGGGTGTGGAAATGCTGCAGTTCATGGTGAACTTTGACTATTATCCACTCGAGTCGTACTTAAGACGTTCCGCGCCGCAGCCGCGCTCTCCCTCCTTCCATCAACATCTTCCGCCTGCATCTATTTCATGTCTCATCATAAAAATAATGAAGCCTCACATGATTTAAACAAAACCGTCTCAGTAGAGCTGCAGCCCGAGTGAAAGTTGCAGTGCGGAGCTGGGTTGCAGCTCCAGTTTATGCCTCATTAGGAGAGGCTGGGAAAGAAAAAAAAAAAATACCCACATCCGCACACGCACGCGCGCACCCGCAGACACACACACCACAAATAAGCCGACGCGTGTGTACACAGTTGCTGCACTTACCTTCTCAATTAAGCGATACAGGGGGAGGCCGTTCAGTAAGCACAGTGGCTGCTTTGTAGCGCTTCTCCTTGGGAAAGGTCAAAAAGAAGCATTGTTTGAAAAAAAAAGAGGGGGGAGGGAATCTCTATTTTTTAAGTTTAAAATAATGAGGTCCTCAAGGATCCGCCAAGTAATGGTGTTGACCGCATCTGAGCCACAGGTGTTCTCCTTTTAGGCAACTGCAGTCCAAGGCTGTCTCTCTCCGTCCGGGCTCAAGACAACTTACCCCAGCAGCGTGCGAGGAGCCGAGCTGAAGAAGCCCCGGCTCTCAGCAGCAAAATGCAATCCCTTCCCAGCCAGGCATAATACAGCCAAAGAAAAGGTCACTCAGTTATTACTGAGCCGGCGGAGCCCAGGCAGCGCTTGTCAAGACCACAGAGAAGCAGCTCCCTTCCGATTTAAGACTATTTACCTCTCGCCCCCACCCCTCCCCTCTTCTCTCCTTTCCTTCTCTCCCTCCCTCTCTCGCTGGCTCCCTCGCTCGCTCTGCTCTCGTGTGCCTGTTCTGCAGCTCAGTCAAGTACAGCCGCCCTCGGAAAGTGCAAAGCAGCCACGAGACAGATCGGGCTTTGTTGCTAATTTCCCAGGGTGAAAATTTACAAGCCTGCGAGTGCAGTCAGCACAACCGCATGCATATGCTACTCACAAACGCTGGGGACGACCCCGAACACAAAATGTGACCTCTGCAGGAGTCGATTCAGGAAGGACCCTACCTCCTGGTCCAGTCCAAAAGAACTTCTGAGAAAGAACTCCGGAGGAAAAGGGTAGGGTTCCTAAAATAAGCTGGGCATTTTGGAATAGCTGGCCACATTTAAAGCAAATTGCCCTCTAAAGCCATTTCTGAAGCTACCAATTATGGAAATTAAAATAAAAGCCAGGCAATCAACCTGCTACCAGGATACCCTGGAAGAGCACACACCCCTCCCTTTTAAGAAATGTATGAGGTGGGGGGTGTCTACAGTTGCCTGGTCACTGACTTCCATTCAGGAACTCTCTGAAGTACCTGCTGCTCCACAACTCTGCCACACAAGCCCCATCCAGTGAGTGACACCTACTCCCCTTCCTCCCTTCCTCCAGTGGCTCAAGAACCAAACTGAACTATTCCCCATTAGCCAATGCTGAACCCCATCAGTACCACTGAAACACATTTTCTGCAATTACCTGAATTCCTTACTTTATAAAACTTACATACTTGGATGAAAAACACCCAAGAATGCTGAGAAACATATTTTTGGGACTAACTTGGTCAAAGAAACATAGTTTCATCACCATTTACCAGCCTGTTTCACACACTTGTTTTAAGGCCTTGACAGTTTTTTTTTTTTTTTTTCCATTGAAAGATGTCCCATTCTCCCTAACCTCCTCTCCTTTCAACTTTGCATCTATAAAAGCCACTGGTAGCTTTAAAATATCTTACTATTTTGGTAAGTTTTCAAACTTCAGTTCTTTTTCTTCTACTTTTTTTTTTTTTTTGGCAGCTATTAAAGCCCCCTCACCAGATTTTACAAAGCCTTGTCAAAGGTCAAGCTTAAAAATAGTGCAAATTTGAATGACACTGGCTGAAATGTTTTAAGAACCAAGACAGATTCAATTGTTGAACTACAAAAAAACTTTTTTTCTTCTCTGCACCATCAGTTTTAATCTAGTTCTAGTTTTTTTTTTTTTTTTTAAATCAAAGCAGCCCCTGTGAATATTTAAGCTCAATTATGCTCCTCTGCATAAAGAATACTGGCCTAATATTGATAAATTAGTTTTTTACCCCCTCCATTCTGAAGACTCATAATAAAATAGTATGTAGCTTGCTTTTCTCTCCCTTTAAAAGGCAACAAAACTCAGAACTAACCTGAAAAATAACGAAATTCACAGACGGCAGATTAATGAGAACCCCTTCAGTTGATTTGTTCTGTACATAAGCAGATTTCTTAAGTTTGGCTTTTCTGGCCAGTCTATGCAGGTACACAGGCACCTCACCCATCCGCACAGTTCCCCGCTGAGCTACCCCACCTCTCTGCTCCAGCCACTCTGAAAACACCCCAGAGTGTGTGCCTGTGTGCCTGTGTGTGTGTGTGTCTTGCGTGTGTGTGTGTGTGTGTGTGTGTGTGTGTGCTCTCTCTCTCAGCCAATGCAATGAGAAGAAAAGAGGGAGGGAGGGAGGGAGAAGTATGTGTGGGGAAAGGGAGAAATAAAATCAAAACAAATGGTACAGCTAATGAGGACAATTAAATTAATTATGTTCAAGGAGATGAGATTTTTTTTCCCTCCAACTGTATGATCTGTTACCCCTCGCTGGCAACTGCTGCTCTGTAATTCATGGCAACTGATTAGTGCATCTATGCAAATCTTTGTTTAAATCATTCAACT